TAATCTCCTAAGGAAATAATACTCTTGGTATTTAAAATACAAGGTCCATTTAGGTACTTTGAAATGATGGGAACAGTATGTTTCCTCTTGGACCAACCCTACCAGGGATTCAGGAACACCTGTTCATCTTTCAACCCCTTATCCTTGGGTCCATCTGTCTACTCTCAGATTTGGTTAGCACCTGAGGTTTGATAGAGATCAGTTGGGATCAACATTGGTGATGAGTCCTCACGCTGCCACTATCTTGGGCAAATTTGCTTCTGAGCTGCAGCCAACATTCGAGGCCCCTTTGAGAGTCAAGTTTTCGTCAGACTGTCCTCTAGCATCTCCAGTATCACAAGGTTCAGCTAGTGGGGAAAGGCTGTGGGTAAAGAGTCGGCTGCCAGAGGATTCTAGAACTTCCTCTCCTGCCCCCAGGCTTTCAACGCAGAGATGTATAAAAGAGTAGATACGGCCAAATGAGTCCAAGGTAACATCTGATTTCTTTCCTCAGGAGATTCAATGAGATGATGTGTCACATGTAAACGTTGAGAAGTTAAATACGAGTTAGTTACTGGAGTGGCTGCAGGCTATAATGGCATGCCATTTGAATTCAGAGCTAAGTCCAGTCTTAGCGACATCACCTAATGGCTGAGAGAGCTTGGCAACTCAGTTTTCTTTATTGAATTTTATGTTCCTGGTCTATAAAATGAGACCATGCCTGGGCTGAATTGTGTGTTCCCCACATTGACATGCTGAAGTCCTAACCCCCAGTACCTCAGAATGTGAGTATATTTAGAGACAGGGCCTTTAAAGAGAGAGCTGAGGTAAAACGAGGTCATAGCGTGGGCTCTAATCCAACATGATTGCTGTTCGTACAAGAAAAACAGATTAGGATACTGATAAGCACCGTGAGAAGATACTGGCAAAAAATAGCCATCTTAAAGCCAAGGAGAGGGGTCGTAGAAGAAACCACTGTGTTGCCATCTTGGTTTTGGACTTCTGGCCTCCAGAGTTATGAGAAAATAAATTTCTGTTGTTTAAGCCCCCCAGCCTGTGGTACTTTATTACAGAACTTTGTTATGGCCCTAACTGCCCTAACAATGGAAAGATTAAAAAAAAAAACTTAAATCACTTTCCGAATATAAAGCTGTCAGTAAAACACTAAAGGTAGTTACTATCCCTAAGTTTTAAGAGATTGAAGGAGTTGGAGACTTGTGGAATTGGGCAGAGCTAAAAAGTGCACAGCTATGGAAATTTCTCTAGGCCTCCAGGAATCAATGTGTTGAGAGGGTGTTTCTTGACTTGGGCTCATCTAATAGCAAGATGTGATGGAAACTGACTTGCTATGTCTGGCCAGGCTGTGTCAAGAAACCCAGACAGAAGAAAACAAGGAAACTCTTTGTACTTCATGTATAGATTAATGATTGTCTTTCAGTCCAGAAGGGGAATCTTGTCCCTTCCTTGTCACTCAGAATTCCCAAATATAGCTGAGTTGGTGGCAAATTTCTAAGAAAACGTTTTAGCCGTGAAATGAAAGTGTTACTCTTTAGGAAAAGGAAATCACCTTGGATTTTGTAAGGGGCAGAATAACTGCACTGAATTCTAGATGCTCATTTTTATTTGTGTTGGATAGGAGTAATCTTTCTAGCCTATACTTTTCAACTCAGTGTTTATTTAGTCAACCTCTTGGAGAACTGAGCACTGCGCTGGTGGAGCATTGTAGGGTGGATGGAATGCACAGAAAGCCATGAGTCCTTGCTTTGCAGCTGGTACAACATAATTGGTGTTAGACTGACAGCAGCCAGACAGTCATGCATCGAGGGAGTGTGCAAAGTAAAAGAAAAGCACGTAAGGTTAAGCAGGGAAAGAAAGTTCTGCACTTTTGTCTTTTGGTCTGAGAAGGCATCTTCTTAGCATCTGTGTAGAGGAGTCAGTAATTTTCTATTCAAAAGACATGGAATCCATTATCTAAGGTTTCACAGCAGTTTTTAATTTAGTAACCTCCTCTTCCTTCTCTCTTCCCCTCTTCCTAAGCCGTGTTATATTTTCTTTGCACAAGTTTTCATGAGCTCTGCCTTCATCAAGGGAATTGTAATGAGAACCCTCGAAAAAAGGATTATTAACTTGGAGGCTGCATATGAAAAGAACACATTTTAAAGCAACTTTTGCTTGACATCTCAATTTGTAAGTCAGTTTTGTTTTTAAATAAATAAATAAACCTAGAAGGATTGAAGCACTTTGTTTGGTAGAAATGAGCAATGCAAAAATTATAGTGAATCAGAGCATTTTATCATCAGTAGAGTGCCTTGATCAACCTAAGATGAAGGTAATGCGTAACTATAAATGGTTCCTTTTAATCAGATTAATTGTGTTGCTATTTGGGGGATGGAAGCTATAGCATCTGAAATTCAGGATAGGTAATGATGGTAAACATTACTGAAGAAACAATTATCCTGGAGGATTCATCAGGGCATTTCATTTCTCTCACTTTATAGAAGCAATCATTTCATTAGGAATTTTTATCACTAATCTGATTTTAAAAAAATGAATCCTTTAGAAAAAGATGAATTAAAAGTGCTCTCATAGAAGAAGGCATGGACTCAAATGGCTTTAAAAAAATGAATTCCTAAGTTGCAACTCACTGAGGTGGAGGCAAGGTGAAATATGTAAATAAATTAGGCTGAGGAGAGAGTAGCAGTGGTCCAGGCCTCGAAGAGATTTAAGCCAGACCTTCAAAAGGCTGGACGCCACTTCTCTATCATACTTAACAGTGCCTGAGGCAAATACTACTGCTTAGGAACCATTGCCGTCATTTCCCACTTCTCTTTCCTCCTGGTTCTCTTCCCACAAGGTGGAAGAACAGTCTGGTAATTGACATTTGTGGCTTTGGAAGACTCGCTGTACTCTGCAGTCCATGCACTGAATGCCTGGGACCCATTAGAGATCTTCCGGGAGTTCCAAGAGTTGCTGACCCCTCTTTAAATGACTTCGGAAGAGCAGGCTGCAGCTCTAGGCCTGCCAAACAGTGGCACGGCAGCAGGTGTAGCTGCGAGGTGTGGGTCGGTGCTGGTGTTTTCTTTTGGATCCCTGTTAGCAGGGAGGTCTATTTGAACTTTGGCAGTTGTGTGCAGAAGGAATATTAGGATTGGGTTAACCCAGATAAGTCTTTGCATGGATAAAGGGATGCTTTATTATTTGTTTTTAAAAAATCATTTATTTCCATAGGTTTTGGGGAAACAGGTGGTATTTGGTTACATGAGTAAGTTCTTTAGTGGTGATTTGTGGGGATTTTGGTGTACCCATCACATGACCAATATGCACTAAACTCAGTTTGTAGTCTTTTATCCCTCACCCCCCTTCCATCCTTTCCCTTTAGTCCTCAAAGTACATTGTATCATTCTTAGGCCTTTGCATCCTCATAGCTTAGCTCCCACTTATGAGTGAGAACATACAATGTTTGGTTTTCCATTCCTGAGTTACTTCACTTGGAATCATAATTTCCACTTCCAACCAGGTTGCTGCGAATGCCTTTAATTCATTCTTTTTTTAATGGCCGAGTAGTATTCCATCATACTATATACCACATTTTATAACATATATACCATACTATATACCATCGTTTCTTTATCCACTCATTGATTGATGTGCATTTGGGCTGGTTCCATATTTTTGCAATTGCGAATTGTGCTGCTATAAACATGCACATGCAAGTATCTTTTTTTGTATAACGACTTCTTTTCCTCTGGGTCGATACCCAGTAGTGGGATTGCTGGATCAAAAGGTAGTTCTACTTTTAGTTCTTTAAGGAATCTCCACACTGTTTCCCATAATGGTTATACTAGTTTGCATTCCCACCAGCAGTGTAGAAGTGGATGCTTTATCAAAGACTTGCTTGTATCTTCCCTAGTATACAGCCTCCTAACACATCTTCTAGTGAGCAGGAAGGAAGGAAGCAGATGTGTAAATCCTGTTATAAGCACCTCCTTTAAGCACTGGGGTATAACCTTTCCATGCAAGACTGGGAGGCCTGTGCAGAAAGTGGGGACAAATGAATGAGTTGGAGATTTAATAACCAGCTTTCTGTACAACATGCTGAGGGGCTATTAACTTATTTTTCTTTATTTAAACTCTTACAATGAAATAAATGTATATCTATTTTATAATATTGAAGAAATGAAGATAAGCAAAACTGAGCAAATAAGAGCGAACTGAACACTTTTCACCTGAAGATGACCACTGTTAATATGCCAGGACCATCCTTCTGAGCTCTTTTCTTTGCTTATCCATCTACACACACAGCAAACACAGATTTACCAAATGTGATAGTTTTATTGTAACTATTGTCATTTTTAATGATTGCATAGTAGTTCTTTTAAAGATGGTACCAACGTTTTTTAAGAAAGATTTTATTGCCAGACATCTCAATTGTTTTGGGATTTCTCCTAGTGTAAACCACATTGTCCCGAACACTTTTGTAAATAATTATGCATATACATCCATGACCATTTTCTTAGCATAAATTCCTAAGGAAAATTGAGAACTTCTGATACATATTGCTAAATTGCCACCCTGAAGAGTTTATGTATTCAAAACATGTTTACTAACTGAGCAGTCAGTTTATGTCCAGGGTTGGCTATTAAATGGGGACATCCAGCTGTGAAGAAGAAAACACAACGTCCTCATAGAGATAGCCATCAAATACATAAACACAGCAGGTTTGAATGTCACACAAGGGGAAAACCAGGAGCCACTGGAGATCCTGGGGGAAGAACCACTTCAGAGTCCCCCAGCAGCATGTGAGCAGGCCTGAGTCTCTGGGTCTTTACCAGTGCCTTCCACTATTGTTTCACTGCATTTTATATCGAAGTAAATAGAAATGAGATCCTGGACTGCACATTTATACAGGAGTACAGCCCAAGCATAAGGCACAATATACTCTTTTACGATCTCTGTCCTACTTTGGATTCAGGCTTAAGAGACCTCATTCAGAGATTTAAATTTAATAAACGGAATCAAACCTGGTGAGGAGACAGCTTCTCAGGCTACAAGGCTGGCTGGTGCTATCTTCTCTCAACCCTGTGAGGGAGGCCTGGTTTTCTTCTTGACCGAATTAGTCACTTGCACATCTGCGGGGGGGATCATCCTTCTTTCGGTCTCTTCTCTCTGGGAACATAATGAATTCATTGTATTTTATTTTTTCTCTTTCTCCTCCTCCTCCCCTCTCCTCGCCCTTCTACCTTTTTTCCTCTCCCCTTCTACCTCCCCCCTCCTCCCCTTCCCTGCTCCTCAAGGTATCTCTTTCTTTTTCTACATCGTGAGCAACTTGATGGGGGGTTCCGTAAATGCTCAGTAGATTGTTGACTAATTGACTGAGCGCCTGAATGATGTCACCCGACTCTCTTACTGCTACCTGGCATCATTAGTGGCATTAGTTAGGATTCTGGGTTTACATTAGAGAATGCAAACTTGCTTCAAGGGGCTATTTTTGGTCATAGAAATATTAAGCCTATCTATTTAAATTTTCTTAAGTCCTTATTGCCATTAAACTCTTCCTTTATTGTCACCTTTGATGTAAGGGAAAGACTGTCAGCCATTAGCAGTATAACAGTCTTGAATGTCAGGTTAGGGACGGGGGCTTAGGGTTTTATGTAAGGAAAGCCCCAAGTGGTAGACAGGTGGAGAAACCACTCATTCCTGCTGCAGGCTGATGGTGGGAAGGAGAGAAGGGACTGAGTGGGGAGAAGGAAACTCCCATGCATAGGCCTGAGAGGGGTGGGTGTGTTAGGCAGGTTGAAGAAAGTGCTGAGGATGATGATTTTCTGTCTGATGCCACAGGAGGCTACAGGGGCTGCAGGGAGACGCCCTGGTTCAGAAGGTCTCAGGGAGAATGTAGCGAAGGCTCAGTGTTTAGCAAGAGCTCAGGGAGGCCTTGGCAGTGCAAGGTGGGGGTCACCGGGGTGCAGGCAGAGAGAGGCTGGTGCATGGGTTACACACTGCTGCATGGGGCTGCAGGGCCCACTTTTGTCAGAATAAGCAGTGATCAGGCAGACCAAGGACACCCTGCCAGAAGCCAGAGGAGCTCTGGCACTCCAGGAACCTCCGTTCTCCAGAGCCACAAAGCCATGAGAACTCTCTTTCCACTGTTCAACCCAACAGAGGAGAGACTGAGCAATTATCCCAGATTAGAGAAAACCAAGTACATATTCTCCCCACTAAAACCATGTAAAATTTATATTTTCTTTGTATTTAAGTTGTAGCATGAACCATATTGCAACTCTGTTAGGCTAGTTTATACATAAAGGGGAATGTACTGGTTCACAGAATCCAAAAGGTTGTAGAGAATATAGCAGTTTTAAGTTATGAGAAGGTGCAGGCTCACCTGGAGGCTGGGGCTCTGCTTTCTGTCTTCACTAACCTCTGCTTCGTGTTGCATCTCAGCTTCTTTCTTTCTCACTGCTGATCAGTTCCTTCACGTGGGGAAGTTTTATACTCTATATTTCAACCATTAGAGGAAGAGAGACTTCCCTCAAGTTTGTTTGTTTTGGCCTCAAATTCAAACTCTCAGGGAATGATTATATTGCCTGTGTTGAAGTCAGGTGTCTTACTCTTGCACATCTGTGGGGGGATCATCCTTCTTTTGATCATTCTTCTCTCTGGGAACATAATGAATTCATGGTATTTCCTTTTTTCTCCTTCTCCTTCCTCTCCTTCTCCCCATCCCTGACCCTCATCCTCAATGTGTCTCTTTCTTTTCCTATATCATGAGCAACTTGATGAGGGGTGACCCATACTTTAGTTCCCGGGTTCAGTAAATGTTCTGAACAATCAGTTGCAGCCTGGGGATGGCATTTTCCACACCTCCTCCCCTCCTGGGTCAATTGCCTACTCTTGAACCAACAAACTATGGTCAGCGTGGTCAGGGGTTTAGGGATACAAGGCGGTTCACGGTGTCCATGTAACTGAGGGAGAGTTCCCAAGAGAAAGATTGAGTGAGGGTATCTCAGTCAGTCTGGACTGCCATAACAGATTACTACACATTGGGCAGCTTAAACAACAGACATTTATTTCTCACAGTTCTAAAGGATAGAAAGTCCTATATCAGGGTGCTGGTGGGTTCTGGTGAGGGTCCTCTTCCTGGTTTGCAGATAGCCATCTTCTTGCTATATCTTCATGTGTCAAGGGTGGGGGGGAGAGAGAGAGAGAGAGAAAGAGAACTCTTCTCTTCTAAGTGCACTAATCCCATCATCAGGGCTCCATCCCTGTGACCTAATCACCTCCAAGTACCATCGCAATAGGGATTAGCGATTCAACATATGAATTTTAGGGGGACACAAGCATTCAGTTAATAGCATTTGGTGATGTTAAAAGCAAGTCCCAGTAATATACAACATGACATCAATCCTCTGCCAAGACATTCAGGACACCCCAGGACATTCGGGTTTCTTAGGATTGTAGGGGAGGAAAAGGTTCATGGCTGAGGCCGCTATAACAAAAGGCAGATGAACACAATGAAACCATACACAATTTATTTTACTATTTTATTTTTATTTTTTGAGATGGAGATTCTCTCTTGTTGTCCAGGCTGGAGTGCAAGGGCGTGATCTCAGCTCACTGCAACCTCCGCCTCCCATGTTCAAGTGATTCTCCTGCCTCAGCTTCCTGAATAGCTACAGGCGTGTGCCACCACGTCTGGCGAATTTTGTATTTTTAGTAGAGATGAGGTTTCTCCTTGTTGGTCAGGCTGGTCTCGAACTCCCAACCTCGGATGATCTGCCCGCCTCAGCCTCCCAAAGTGCTGGGATTACAGGCATGAGCCACTGTGTCTGGCCACAAATTTATTTTTTGTGATTTTATGTGACATGGGAGCCTTCATCAAGAAACAAAGACCCCAAAGAAACAGGTCTATTTGTGTATTTTCATGCCTAGGCTTGCTGAAGAGTGGTCAGTCATGGAGAAGTATGATTGGAGGAGAAAAGAATATGATCTAATGGTAAAAGCCAGGGGAATCTTAGCAAGCCCTGTTTTTTCTGATTCTTCTTAGTGTCTCTGTGTCTTTGGCTCCTTTCCCTTGGGTATAGGGAGGGCTTCTCTTGAATGAGAGTCTCACGACCTTCCTTAGGGAAGAAGGGTGAAGGGATGGTAGGAAGGGCCTTCCTGCTTCTGTTTTCTCAAGTGCTGATGTGCCATCTTTTGGGGTAACGTGTTTTAAATCCTATTAGGAGTGATGGAATAGTGAGTGGCTTACTCAGAGAAGTCCACAGTAATCCTACCAGTCTCCAAGATGGCCCCAGTGGTCCTTCACACATGTAGTTTTATCCCAGGCTGAATCCAGGCTGGCCTGTGTGATTAATCAAAATCGAGCACAGTTGAGCTGGTGGCATGTGGCTTACAGGGCAGGTCTTATGGGGCTTTGTAGCTTCCATTTGCTTTTACAGGTCCCTTGCTCGTGTTGTGAGCATGGTCATGCAACCCTGTTAGGGGCTCATGTGGAGAGGAACTGTGGCCTTCCACTGACAGCCAGCAGCCCTTTGCCAGTCATGTGAGTGTGCCATCTTGGAGCAGACCCCGATCAAGTCTTCAGCTAATTGCAGCTTTGGCTAACACCTGACTGCAATTTCATGAACAGCTTTTTCAAGCCAAACTAGCCAGCCAAGTAGCTCCCAAATTCCGGACCCAGAGAAACTAGTTGTCAAAGATAAGAAATATTTACCATTATTTTAAGCTTCTAAGTTTTGGGTAATTTATTATGCATGGTTAAATTAATTTTTGTACATTCCCAAATCAGGCAAGTCGCGGTAAACTTTCTCATCCTTAAGTAGCCATACATAGTACCCATCTAATGTGACTCAAATAGAGAGGAAGTGGGCAGAAAATTCTACATTCTTTTCTTTGGATCCCATAGGTATTCTGTTAAAAAGATAAAGCAGAAAGAATACAGGAAACAAAGAACCCTGATGTGTATTTTACCTAGTTTGCTAATATCACTGGAATGCTAAGAAAGGAAATGTCAAGCATAGCACATTGAAGGAAAAAAAAAACACTAAAAAAGTAAAAAGTATTCAGAATATGTGAATTTTCATCCCAACTTTCAGCCAAGTCATTAAGCTTTTTCTGCTCCAACCTCCCTGGGTTACTCAAGGATCACATGAGATAATGAACACGGAAGCTCTCTATAACTTTTAACACCTTGCAAATATCACATCGTCAGTGTTAGAATCATGAGGACAAAGGGTGTGAATGTGGGTTAGAATTGGAAACTGGGAGGAAGAAATAAGAGAAAACCTGTTCATTTCCTTCTCTAATACAAATAAGTTTCCTGATAATAGAAAAATACTTTTAGTCAATGTTGAATATTACCTTAATATTGTTTGGGAACATTTCTGTGTGTAGGAAACCTCGAAATAAGATCTCCATTTGGCCCATGAATTACAGAGTTGCTAATAAGCGGATTCCTAACAATTTTGTCTCCAGGCATTCTCCTGACATCCCACAGCTGTGCGATTGCAGGGGGATCTGAGAGTTCCAGCTCCCGCTAGAGCTGTGCCACCCACTGATATATAACCCGCTGGAAGGTGTTATCTGTATCAGTCTTCCCATGGAGACCCCATACCTCAGCAGGTATATTTCATGAGTGAAGGTATAACTGATGAATCTTCTAATTTTATAGTCTGAAATGGGATGATAAAATGCTAGATTTATAGATATTGTTTCATTGTGTACAACACTCATGTTTCTTATTCCCATCTGGTGTGAAGAAAAGAAATTTGTTCTCCCTTTATCGTGTCATGCTGTTAAATGTACATTGCTAAGATCTTGAGGAGTGGAAGCATAGCTATCCACCAGCATAAGAGATGTGGTGCTGTGGGCGATACTTTAATGCCAGCAGAGCTTAACCAAAGGCATTTTATTGCCATTGCAGTTATTTTTTATTTTGGAAGGGGAAGATAAACCTTTATGTCCTGGCTTATTAACAAAACCTACCCTCAAATTAGGATGAGCTTTTTTAGATATGCAGTTGTCTGCCGATTCTTCCCCAAATTTCATGCTACTAAATGTGCAGATTGCTTCATTGTTGTAGAGCATTAGAAATTCTGCCCAAGGAGTGCATTTTCAATTGTAGCCTTATCAGGTGGCCTTTCTTTGGCCATGCAAAGTGGCTTCTTACAGATTTTAATGCATTGAAAATAGAAGTTTCTCTCTTCTAAAACCAGAACCAAAAGTTCCTGCCAGTACCTGACAGAGACTGCCCTTTGTGACTTCCCAGATCCCACGTAAAGAACATGTCCTCATGTATGCTCTTATATTTAGCATGCTTCCATTAATGTGTCACTTCTCTTATGGAAGAACAATTAGGCATTCATCTCGCTAAAATAGAGGAGAAGCATAAAAATACAAGCATCACAAAGGAGATGAGAGAGGACAAATAAAAGAAAAAGAATGTGTCTGTGTTATTCAAAATCATGACATTCAAATAACACCAGTCTCTATATAAGGCCTTGGGGAAAAAAAAAGGAGGAGAACGCAATGCAAAATGAATTTCTAAAAGAAATTTGTGAAGGAGTGATATCTATCACAGAGCAGATCCTCTTTTAAGGATTGGCAAACTTATTTAAATATTTAAAATTTAAATGGGCAAAACTTCAGTAGTCATTTTTTAAAAATTTTTTATGTTTTCTTCTGAGACAGAGTCTCTCACTGTCACCCAGGCTGGAGTGCAGTGGCACAATCTTGGCTCACTGCATCTTCCACTTCCCAGGTTCAAGCGATTCTCCTGCCTCAGCCTCCTGAGCAGCTGGGATTACAGGCGCCCATCACCACACCTGGCTATTTTTTATTTTTGTATTTTTAGTAGAGATGGGGTTTCAGAATGTTGGCCAGGCTGGTCTCAAACTCCTGACCTCAAGTTATCCACCCACCGCAGCCTCTCAAAGTGCTGGGATTATAGGCATGAGCCACTGCGCCCAGTCCATCTTGTTTTTAATAAACCACTAAATATGTTCTTTATATATATGTATATGTATGTTTATGTATTGTGATAAATAATGTCTTCATTATAGAAAGAAATTGAAGCACCTGTTTCTCAATTACATTAAAAAAGAATCTGGTTTCCCTTGAATATTGGTGTATGTTTCCCTTGAATATTGGTGTATATTTACCTTCCATCAAAAATATTTACCTATTAATTACAAGAGACTTTTGAAAGATCTCAAAGTGATGATAGGAAGAGGAAAATAAATATGTAGTAGAGAGATTTAAGGAAGAAAAATAATAATGGCTAAGGCTGGCAGTTATTCAGCACTTATTTTGTGCCAGACACATTTATGTATTTATGTATTATCTCATTTAATACAAATGGTCTTATTTCAATGTCACCGCCATTTTCACAGGGTTCCAATTGGAGAGACAGAGAAACAGACACTCGTGATTAAGATGCTTAATGAATAATTATAAAATGAACTGGGCGAAATGATAGTGACTTGGGAGATAGAGGGGACTGCAGGGTCAGAGGAGGCTTCTTTTGGGAGGTGACATTTGGAGTGAGTGACTGGGGAGAGAACGGCATGAAATGGGGTTGGGCTGGACATTGAAGAAGTAGCCTGCCTCTTCCTCAGATGGTGAACATCTTTCCATCTATAAAAGCAGGACTATGCAT